TGATTTAACAGAAAATAAGTTGTTTTATTGTTATAAAGTTGGTCCTTGTGTTGGTAAATTAAGCAAAGGTAAAAGAGAAGTAGGTATATGTGTCGACATCGAAATCTCCTTGATATATATATATACACTAACTAATAAATTTTGATATGTCATGGCTTACGTGACATACATTATGTATCTCACAAATTATACACACGGCATTTGACTCATCAAAACCAAACGAGTCATCAAGAGGGACACATGTCAACATTTGGCGAAAAATAGTTAAAGAATTATCTTTTTTAATTTTTTGTTATTGATTTTAATTTAGATCAAACAAATTAATTGATTTAAATTTAAAACAATTAATTGATGAAGTCAAATCATGAATCGAGTCACAAATAAAGTCTTGGTTCTTTCATCATTGAATCAAGTCCACAGTCGAGGTCAAATTCAACCGTCGGAAAGACTTGGAAAGCCTATAATATGAGGCTCCAAGACAAAGAAATGGGGTTAGAAAATCATTCTCACACCCAGACGCAGCTCTCAAGCCTTAAACTCCCAAGTTCCCAAACACTCAGAAGATTTAGAAAACTCTATGCATTCTTCATCATTCTTGTGAAGAACCACCAAGCACCCCTACATGTGCCGGTTCCTCCTTCCCCACATGTCAAAACCTTGAGGTGCTTGTTCATTCGAGATCAAGTCATCATAACCCTCGAATCAACAACACACACATTTTCACCTCAAAGATCGAATCAGAATAATCAAGTTTGTAAAGAGATTGTAACCCTACATTTACATTAATACCAAACATTTATTTTGTATACGGAATGACCAAAATGATTGATGGTGGACAAACTCAATGACACTTTTATCGATTTCAAATCTTAGGGACCAAATTGAGGAGTTATGCAAATCTTAGAGACCATTTTGACTAAAAAGCCTTATATCAAATACATATGAAATTCTCCTAAAATTATGTTATTATTAATTTTTCATGTTATTGGTAGTTTATGGTGTTTAACTCAAAAATATAATGTTTTGGATGTAATCAAGAATAATCATGAAATAAAGTGTATATATCTTGATTATTTATGATTGTGTTTAGCACCACCACTCATAGGTCTTGAAAATTATCTTCACTTCCCAACATATTGACAGACAATTATGGTATATGGTTTAATATCTTAATGGATATGATGTTGGACTTTACTCATGCATTTCTGATTTAAACCTCTTCTCCCTAACATTATTGTACTAATTTCAAACTCTCTTCCCTCCTCCTCGTAATGGTAAAATTTAAAAGAAAAAAGGCAAGGAATTTCACGAAATTGGAAATATGATATGGCTCTTCCATCAGTATTTGTTCCATGCTTGCATGGTTATTCTATCAGTTAACTATTTTTAGTAAATAGTAACGAGGTACTTTGAATCTTTCCCTAATAATATATATATATATATATATATATATATATATATTATATACTCACCGAATGGTGGTAATATATGGATTTGGATCCTCTCTAGATTCTTTTCCTGGGGATCCTGAGGATCAATGCAAAATGACCGTTCATCAAAGATCATGCGGTCACAATTAAATACTTTTTATGTAAAACTAGATTGCTTTACTTTTAAAAATATAAAAAGTATTTAATCGTGGCCGCATGATCTTTGATGAATGGTTCTTGTGCATTGATCCCCAGGATCCCTAGGGAGGGGATCCGGAGAGGATCCAAATCTGTAATATATATATATATATATATATATATATATATATATATAGAACTCGGTTGTCGTGGATAACCTAGGTTTTGGGATCTAGATATTTCTCCTTTGAAAATTTTCTTAAGGGTTGTTTGAAAGGGTTTAAAGAAGTGCTTTCAGTGAAAGTGTTATTGGGTTTTTAAAAATACTTGAAATGCATTTTAGAAGAAAAACTAATTATGTAGTTTTCAAAGCACTTCAAATGCACTTTTACCAAGGATCTGTGTCAAAAATATTTTCACAGAAAACAACTCCAGTTATTTTAAAAGTACTTTCAAATATACCCTAAATTCAAATCCCTATTACGTGTATATATTAAGAAGATATAAAACATGACAACGCTATCCCACTTGTCCTATGTTTTCACTGCAAAGTCCAACATTATCGCACTTGTTCTATGTTTTGTTTCTAAGTTTATTGAGTGGCCACCATGCATATAATCACAATCGTTGCTAATTCCAAAAACAATCACGTAGTATCCTAAATAATTAACGTGTAATGCCACGAATAGTCATGCACGAGTAATGCTAGAGAGACTAACTAATTAGATTAAATTTTGAAAATCATATGATGTGATTGTTGATGGATTGATGGATGAATTATTATTTAAATTAATTAACGTACATATTTTCTATTGGTAACAGATTTACAAATTTTGTCTAAAAAACTGGTTAACCTAACATTACTTATAAACATAATCATATAGTCGATAGGTATCAAGGCATTAAGCCACTACCTGATGTTGACGCCTTCTTTTGCCTGTTTTGAATTTTGATATCAAGCTCCTCTTTCTCCACTCGTATAGTTGGATTAGGGTTCTCTGAGTAACAACCTCTAACGACCGTCTGTTAGAATGTGGAGATTTTTTACGGTACTTCGAAATATGAGATATTCTGAATATTTTAATTATTAAATTTTTATTTAAAAATACAAAATCAAGATTTAATAATGAAAACACTCGGAATATCCTTAGAGCACCATAAAATCTTGGTAGAATATAAGCATCAAACCCAACACTAATGCAAGGCTTTCAATTCCTACAAAGTAAAAGCATCTCCAAGAGCAACTCTGAATTTTTGTTAAATTAACAAGTAAACAATGTCAAACTTTTTATCTCCAACAACACTCTCTATTTCAACAGCCTTTAAATATTTTATTATTAACAATTCAAACACAACCCACTCATTTTATAAAACAACCTTCTCTCTTTCTTCTCTCCTTGCTCAAAGGACCCTTGAGTTTTTATTATTTTTTTAATATTCAATTGCTCTTTAAATTCAAAGAGTAACTGATTATTTTGTTTTAACATAAACTTTTTACAATATCTTCTTTGACAACATCTCTTGGAGATGGATTTTTGAGTTTGGTTCTTTAAAGTAGAGTTTTGGTTGTTTTACAACATCTCTTAGAGACGATCTAACACCATAAACTTTTTTGACAACACAAAAAAGTGTGAACGTGTTCACTAAAAAAAGATTCACAACAAAGGAAGAACTCGAAGATATTCTGTAACTTATTTTTTAGTACAACAATAGTTATAAGTGTAAATTTAGGCTGAGTCATCTAATCGAGTTGACCATGAGACTTGAGAAAATTTGATAGGAAAGTATTATTAGCATTTCAAAAATCTTATTCTACACTCCTTATAAGTGTATTTTTCTTTCCTAATATAGAAAATTTGAAGTGTAGAATAAGATTTTTAAAATGTTAATAATAATTCCCATTTGATATTCAACTTTAAAGCTATTTGGCGATGTAGCCAAAGTCATTATAAACAAATGCAAGTGGTTTCTCACTTATAAAGTTACAAGTGAAAACTATTTTGAGCCAACAAAAATCAAAACCATGATATCTAGACGGATGCTGTTCACACATTTCTTTTAATATTTAGTACACATTCGGATAATTTCTGTAATTTAATATTCTATATATATACACACACACTCGACGAACAAAAAATAAAAATAATATTTAAATATAAAATAATATAGGTAGATAGCACCACTCAATTATTTAGGCACAAGAGAGTCATTTTCAGGGGATCACTTATCAGCATCGTTGACGACAATCGATAAAAAAAATTAACAATATCAGAGTTCGGCACGGGATCCGGAGATTGCAATCAGAGACAGCCGGATCCACAGCAGTTGTTGCATCAGCTGAAGTTGTACCAATAAATCCCCGCGTATTTGAAACTGCGTACGTGCGTGACTACGTGTGAAATTGTGAGTGGTTGGAGCTTACTTGTTTTGGTTCCTTCAATCAATCAAATCGTGTGCTGTAGTCTACACAATCCCTGCTCCTGCAGAATAGGGCACTAGGCTACTTCTACGCTGCCTCCTGCTGCTTCTGCGGTCTGCAATTTGCTGATTTTCTTCTGCTGAGCTTACTCACACAGGTTCGATGGTGGTGTGTACTCGCTCTATCTAATCGAAACGTGGCGTGCCTGTCCTTGTTTTTCGGGATTGGTAAAGAGATTTTGCTTTGATTGGTGGAGTTTGTTGGAAACATCAAATCAGATAGACAAATGGGTGGATTTATGAAATCGAAAATTGGGCCGGAACTGATGCATCCAATTCCAAGTTTTTATTTAGGCCCAACCGTAAACTTGGGTTGATATTGGTTTCACATGTCCAAATTCCAAGTCTTCCGATCACATCTTTTAATTTAAGCGTTTGTAGATATTTGTTTCACATATCCAAATCATCTTAACCGATGTTTTCTTATCTTATCTTTAATCTCAACTACTCTTATTTTACCTCAGATATCCTCGATCTTATTTTTTCTTATCTTATCTTCATATGTGCTACCTTAGATATCGATTATTAATTGAAAAGGGAAAATTAATTAAACTACACCTCTAAACTCCTAACTAGATTTGATCATCAAGATTGTAGGGGCGTATTTGTGGATCATAATGTCGTCACAATTAGCGCTCTCTATCAATACTAACGATCAATGCACAAAAATGGAAACCCCATTTTTCTATCCAAAGTGCAAAGTGGAGTTGAAATCAGCTTTAACTACACAAATTTACTACAATCATGTTCTGTTTACATGATGTCACATATGTCACAACGATAAAAATTTCTCACTTAGCTCAAGTTCACCATGATAATTGCTAAACACAACAGTAAATGCAATACAAATAAAATTATTACCGCCATAAAGCACAAAAAACAAAATTTCATTTTCAAAAGAAATGAAAAATGTGCAAAGTCCACCACTTGAATTGTCATTAAAACACGTCAAAATTAGAGGAAAATTTGATGAGATTATTGCATGACTAATTGCACATTGTTTGCACAAAAAGCAAAATTACATGCTTAATAGAAGCCAACAATCTCCAGTGCCTGCCTGATTCCTACATTTTTATTTTAGAATCAAGAAGAAACTAAACTCTGGCTACTCGTAATCAAACTCCTCATTAATCCGTAATTTGCACTCTCTTACTCTTAATCCTCTCTCATTACCGTTTTAATCTCCATCCCTCCACCGGCATTATTCACACGAATAACCTCCACGCTCGTCAAACTTTTTTGACTCTTTTACCGTTTTACTCTTTCTTTTTACCTTTCTCTGCTGTGCGCCCCATCTGCGTTCTCATCCGACGGACTGTATTGAATTTTCCTCTGCGTCAGCAAGCAGCACAGGAAACGCGAGCCGTCCGTTGGACGAGCCTTCAACACCTGCCTTGTTGTTCCCGCCAATTCGGTGATCGTGTTCAACTCCTTCAGAGGCGGTAACGGCGTCGCCGGAGATGATGCCGCCGACCCGCCGACGTCTGAGTTCTCCGCCGACTCAGTGAAAGAGTTTTCCTTCGAATCGCCGGAGTAATCACTCGATTTGCTCTTCATGCTGTCGCGTCGCCGGCGCCGGAAGCTTTCTCCCTTTCCCATCAGGTCGCGGTACCCGACCGCAGACAACTCGCTCACCGCCGGGGCCAGGTACGAGCCGTCGATCACCATCGCGGCCACATTCAACACGCCTTGGAATCTTCCAGAAGGTCTCCGAATTTGTATGGCCGTAAACGACGGAACCTTGGACGCGACGTCGAGAAAGTTGTTGATGAGAAGTCGGACGGTGCCGACGAGGTGGTCGCTGAAGCAGCCGACGGCGTAAATCTGGATGGAGACCTGGGAGGTCTCGCTTGAGAGAAATGCGGACGGGACCTTGAAGAGAAACCGATCGTTCCACGTCGGGTTCTCGCCGCCGATCTTGTCGACCCGGGAGCGGATCTTGTGGGCGGAGTCGACCCAGGCGAGGGCGTAGGTCTGCATGCGGCGGAGGGCGGCGGAGGGAGGCTTGAGGCCCTGGGCGGAGATGAGGTTGATCTCCAAGACGTGCACGTGATCGTCTCCGTTTTCTTTCTTCATCATCATCGTCGTCGGTTCTCAGGGGGAATCGGAGGGCCGAGAATCGATCGAGAAAGAAGGAAAAGAGAAAACGGACGGCCTTGATGAGATTCAAGAACGTGAAGGTCGTCGGCGCATCGCTTGCCGGTGGATGGAGAGGGGAGAGGCGAGTGGGAGAGGAGGGCGGCGGGTGGGGTGGATTAAAAAAAAAAAAAAAAAAAAACGAAGAGTTATGGGGAAATTGACGGGTCCGGAATAGTCGGGGGGAATATTCGTGTTGGGTAAAAAATGAAGCGGATGGCTTGGGTTTTGCCGGGGTGTCAAGTTGCAGTGATTACAGGGTGGATGATGCATCAAATTTATACGGTGGAGAGTAAAAACCAGTGGGGTTAATTAGTTGGAACTTGGATGGTAATTCTATTATTAACCCTTTTGCTTTCAATTTACCTTCTAGTGGCAATCCTTTATTTTTTTTAACAAATAATATTATTTACATTAAAACGTAGGAAGTGAGCAATGACAGTCCTTTTTTATTAAGCAAGTTTGATTTTTTTTATTTTTTTATTTTTTTTTGTAAAGGAAGTGGTAGATTATTTTATTTATTTTTTAACAAACAATATTATTTATATTATAAAACAGTTACATTAATTTAAGAGATTGGAAGTTTCGAGCACTTCCCATCTTATTTGTCCACTATATGAAATCAGCTCCGGTCCAAGCAGGTTTGTTCAGTTCTAAATTTCTAATTATAATTAACATGCATGAACTGATTGATCCTTCTATATACAAAAATAAAAAATAAAAAAAAATAAATAAAGACAAGAAAATGAAAGAGTTATTAAACGGCTATGAGATTAAAAAGGAAAACATGCACTGGTTGTTGCATGTTTTCTCTGTTTATCTCTAATTAAGTTTGTTTTATGGTACTCATAATTTTAATTACTTAAAGAGCTCGGCCCCCTCCTCCGGCAGGCCACACTTATTAGACAAACTCCGCCGGATGTGTAAAATGTGCTAATAAGCTATTAGCATCAAGGCTCCAGCTGCTAGTTTCGTTAATTGTTTGTTCAGTTCTATATACAAAATTATAGCCTACTGCGAGTCCCATTACAATACAACAGACATATACATATACGTATACGTTTATATTTGATGGAAACTACAGATTTATATAGTCAGTTTAAAAACCATAGTGGCTGAATTTGACGCGTATTGAAAATCGTGAAGGAAAGTGGAACATTGTGAAAACTAGATGGACCAAAACGCGTTTTGGCCGAGATATATAAGTTATGTTGGAAGAGGCTCTAAACTCGATCCTGTTAATATGAAGAAATGTAGAAGCAGAAGCAGAGTTTTAGAGAGAGAGAGAGAGAAATAGGAATTCAGTATTTCTTAATGATCAAGTTTACAATGATTCATGTGAAGCTTTATACTCACAGCAGTACAATACAATCCTTAACTATTGTAGTATTAAGTGACACATGTCCTAATATCAACCATTCACTTATACACTTAACAGATCTCATGCGTGACTACGCCATAACAAATAGACTTTTAAGTACTGTCTCGTGAACAAGAGTTGTTGGATTATGTTAGATATCGGATAAAAAGAACATTATAAAGTGTATGAACAATACATTATTCTGGAGAGACAAGTTAGATATAGCTCGTTGCTGTTCATTTCTGACTTCAATGAACTTTAGCGTGATTGCCCTACGTTTCTCGTTCTCTTCAATCAGCTTTCTACCACTTTCAGAGTTTTGTGACATCTCCATCGACGGAGAAAGCCTCGAATAGAATGTCAGTGTTACATTACGTTTTTTTGGTTCTAATCCTAAGTTGGACTATGACATTCTTTCCCTCATTTAATTTTGACATAGTGAATTCCTGAATCAGGGTGAACCATGAATCCATGTATCTCCTGGATCTGAGTCCGTCCTCGAATCCACCCGAATTTCGACCCAAAGAACTTGGCACCTACGGAAATAGCCAGCGAACAACAGCCTAGCGGCTAAAACACACACATTACTTAATTAGCATTGACATAACTTAATAGCAGTGCTAGTTCAAAGTTGAAGTCAAGGTCAAAACATCCAACGACGGTCTTAATCTACTGCTATTAATTATTTGCTTGATAATCTCTGTCTGTGTACACACACACACACACACACACACACACCACATTACTTAACTAATTTGACATTCCCAGCGTGTTAATTATAAATATGGGAAGCAGACCAACATCCTTAAAGCGAGAAGTTAAACTCAAAGATACAACGCTCATCAATCGATGATGAACTTGTGGTTTTTGCTCCGTGTTCTCACGCTGCTCATGCTGATCACTGCTTCGTTCTTGTCGATGCAATCAGCTCATGTTCAAGCAGGTTTGTTCAGTTCTAATTGTAATTTACGTGCATGAACAAATTGCTCGCTTTATATATCTCTAATTAAAGGACAGAAAAACGAAAGGGTTATTAAACGGACACTACGATAAAAGGCGGAAAATTACATTCAGAAAGACGGGATGCAAGTTGTTGCTGTTTTTTCTGTCATCTCTAATTAACGATGATATGTGGGCGAGATATGTACATGATGTTGAAGGAGGTTCCACCTTCTTTCTCACAAATGATTATGTTAAAGAAAGTTTAAGTTATTCTTGTACGTATGACAGGTGGTGAGATTTATTTACCAAATACGTATACAAACATTATCATCTGGAATTTGGTGGCTTCATTTTACCATGCAAGATGGAAAATATATACCGTAACAGTCCTTTATTTTTCTGTAAAATTGAAAAAAAGTAAATACAAATTTACACATTATAGATACACATATACTCAAATCAAACCCCACATTACAACTGCTTACATTCATTCAATTGAGATATGAAATGAACTTTTCAAATTGCGACACCAGCATCCTTGTCCTTGGAACGATTGTTTGATGGTCTGGCACGAGAAGGTAACCGTCTACCCCTTACTTTCTTCTTCCTAGCCAACTTTTTCTCCAGGTCTTTCACTCTGCCAGTCAGGTTCGATATAGCTTGTAGCTGTTCGTTTCCGGCTTCCATGAACTTCTGCATCATTGCCCTTAGTTTCTCGTTCTCTTCAATCAACATTCTACCACTTTCGAATTCCGTGACATCCCCATCAATGGAGGATGCCTCCATCGCAACTTGTTTCTCAGGCAATGATTCACTCTTCTGCACGGGAGTGGACTGTGTCTCACTGAAGATGTCCTCCGCGACAGTTTCAGCAACATTTGGCAGTGCATTCTTCTTGTCCTCACATTCGAGGTTGCTTTCCTGCATCTTTATATCCTCTATAACTGTTTCTGCTCGCAGGTGCTCAGAGTCCTTTGTACTTCTCTCAATTGGCACTTCATCCTCGATAGGCTGGCCCGAATGATGATCATGAATTATGTCCAAGGGTCCATCTTCATGCACAACATCATGAGCTTCGGTCTGAACAGGTAAGCTCAGTGCTTGGGTTTCAATCGACTCAAAGGCCAGTGGAAGATGATCATCTTTGAGGACTTGTTCTTGTGGCTGGAGCTCTACCTCTAAATCAAGCACTGAATCTGAAGGGCGTCCTTCATCCTCTTGAGATCCAATCACCTGCTGCTCTAAACGGACAATAGGTTGCTCCTCCACTGCTCCCTCTCTTCGTTGCTCTAATTGATCCGTATTTGAAGTTCCATCTGGTTGTGAAGTTACATCAAATGCCACATGATGTTCTCCTCCACTTTGTAGGGAATCATCTTCCTTCACTACTCCGACTTCTTCAATTTCCCTGGACTCATTAAGTGCATTGTGCTCATCAGTCATGCCCGGTGGCAGTTCTGCTAGCTCTTGCATCTCTGCTTCCTTTTCTGTCACATAAGCACAAGCATTTGATGAAGGCACATCTGGCGACAGTTCTACTTGTTCAACGATTTCAGGCTCCAAAATGGTAGATTTGTTAAGTGCATTGTGCTCATCAATCATGCCAGGCTCCAAAATGGTAGATTCGGTAAGTGCATTGTGCTCATCAATCATGCCCCGTGACAGTTCTGCTAGCTCTTGCATCTCTAAGTCCTTTTCCATCACACAGGAACAAGCATTTGGTGGAGTCACATTCGACAACACTTCCACTTGTTCATCCTTTCCAGGCTCCAAAATGGCAGGTTCGTCATCAGTTACTCCTCGAGGCAACTCTCCAGGCTCTCTTGTCTCTACGTTTATATTAACAGCTTCGGAAGAGTTTCCTGTCAGAGTATGGTTTCCTTCTACAAGAGATGATGCTTCACTGCATTGCCCAGGCCGAGTAAAACCATTCTTCATTTCTGCATCTCCCACCGCCATATCTCCATTAGACTGTTCACCAACCACATCATCTTTTGTTTCCACAATGGGCGCAGAACCATTATCTTCAGACTTTAAGCAACTTTCCACCTGTTGCTCTTGATCACCATCCTCCGCTGGGGCGTGCAGCTCTCTATGATTACAATGGCCTGGTTCCTCGGCTCTCAAACCGGGCTCAGGTTCAAAATTCTGAAGCACTTCCCCTTGACAATGGTCTGTACCATTATGACTGCTATCACTGACACCATCAGGCAATCCTTCACCAAGTCCAGTCACATCCTCTCTTTGCTGCTCTAGCATGCAGTTACCGTTGTTGGTGTTCTCACCGAGCTCTTCCATATGCTCAACAGTGGATGCCTCCTGTGTCGGATTTTGAGACTTCTTAGTGTTAAACTCATCGAGTTTTTCCTGCAGAACTACGAGCTCCCTTGCCAAGGATCTTCTAACGTCTCTGAGGCTTGGAAGCAAACCCTGTTGAACGACCACCAAATAAGCAACCACATCAGCATAGTTTTAAAACAAATCCCATAATCTAGAAACTTTTAGATGCAGGTGCCTCTTTCATTGCTAAGATGGAGAATCATCTAAGCATAAACTACATACATGAATTACTTTTAAACGAACACTACAACATGAGGGTTGAGGGTTCGCAAATCTGTCCATTTCTGCACGTGTTTGTGAGTGCGCGCATGTGCACAAGTGTTTTTATTCAACCAGTTAAGTACATACCTGAATGGTATCCAACTTGAGGAGGAGTCTCATGATTGTCTCCCCAATTATTACTCTCTGCTTGTCATCTTTCTGGAGATCAGAAGCCGCCAAAGTGGAGATACGATTACGAATATCAGCAACCTGCTCACGAATGTCAGCTATTTGCTTTAATTTCTTCAATGGTTCCCACCTCCTGACCTCAAACCCACGAAAGGCAGATTGAATAAGCACAGCTGCCTCTATATCTGACAATGTCCTCTCAAGTTTTCCATCAGTAACTGATTTGGTTGCCTCCGTTGGCTTATTAGTCTCCTCAGATTTTGCTTCTGCAACCTTTTGTGCTTCTTCATCCTCGTTGGTCTGACATCTATCTCCATCCTTCTCAGATTCCTGAACGGTTGGATTCCTAGAAACATCCCCTTTAGAATTAGTAGGAATCTTGGATGTATGCATCAGATCTTTGTTCTCACTGATTGTCGTATCCACAACCTCTGTAGCCTTCTCCTTTATGGATGGCTCAACTTCTTTTTTGTGTCCTTTTTGAGCAGGAGGACTAGGAGACCGTGAACTGCCATTGGCCTTCTTCTTCCTCGGCAATGGATCAACTCTCAGACAGACGGGAGGTAGCTCAGATGACTTTTTAGGGGAAGAGGACTGTCTCTTAACACTCGTACCAGAAGGTTTGTTCCCCACATTCTCTTCCACTTGTTTCACAGGGACACTCCTTTCTCTTCTCTCCTCGTCTTCAGAGTTCTTTTCCTCCTTATGTGGATCCATTTGCTTCACAACTATGCTTTTCACGTTAGTAGTGTTTTCCTTCCTCTCCTCAGCACCCTGACCAGCAGGTTTCTCTTCATTTGTACCAGCCTCCTTTGTGACACCACCCTCAGTACTGTTCATTGGAACAACCTTCGGTGCAGAATTCACCTCCCTGTTGCCCTCCTTTCGAACTTCCTCCTGCTTGTTTCCGAAAGGAAACAAGAAGAATGGAAATGGGATTTGCTTCTTTTCATCCTCGGTCTTGTGATCACGAGAAGCATTCACATCCTTGTCCTTCTTTCCAGCCTCCTGATAAGGTGGCATCCAGAAAATTGGAAACGGGGATTCCTTCTTTTTATCCTCCACCTGCTGTTCTTGACGTGGCTCTCTATTTCCTCCTTGCATCGAAGCCCCAATGTCATTCAGATCAAAAGGGAACCAAATATGCCTTTGATCTCCCTGAGACTTCACACCCTCTGGAGGCTTAGAATCAGTTGGAATTTTTGTTTCCTCTACGGCCTCCGGTTCAGAAACCTTGCTTTGCTCTCTACCATTCATGGAAACCGGTGGAAACCACAAAGTTGGATAATGGTTGTTGTTCATATGAACCGGAACCAAATCTGCCTTCTTGTCAACAACATCCGATCCTTGTTCTTCAATCTTCCCACCCTTATCTATATTCTGCTGGCAAACATGATTAGGACACCCACAGCAGTGATAATTTCGAGGCACCATCTTATCATACTCATATTTAGGAATCTCCATGGAATAATGAGGAGGTGGCGGCACATAGGGAACAGGGTAGGCCTGGGGATGCGGAACAGGATAACCCCCATAAAAGTGTTGCGGTGATGGCATTGAAGGATGAGGATAAGAGGGTCTGAGATTATGGTTACAGCAAGAATGGCAAGGCATTGGGTAGCCATAGTTTCCGCCATAGGGCCAAGGCTCCCACACCATGGACGGATTGGACCCGAAACCCGGATTATGATACTGAGGGAAAGAGAAAGTTTGGTTTCTTTGGTAGGGGTTTGAATCCATGTATCTGTATAATGGCATCATTATTCACCAAATTTATACACACAATGACGAAAAGGAATTCTCCAAAAAGTGTTTAAGCAACACCAAAAGCACTTGTTAAATCTGTTGACATAAAGGAACGAGAAAATGCTTAGAACCTAAATTTCTAAAAGTCTAAACCATAGCAGAAAAAAGAACCAACAAGCACCAAACGGTAATCGCATTCGAACTAATGTTCTATGACTAACAAAGTACTAAATTCAAATTAATGAACTTTTAATTCCAAATTTCCAAACCGTACCTTAAATTCAAACTCATAAATTAGGACATAGTAAATAAGAAGATGCATACCAAAGATTATAGAAATTCCAGATTTAGAGAGAGAAAGCATACAACGTAAAAAGTTTGCATTCAGATTAAAGGGTTTTTCTAAGACAATCCAAATCAGAAGATTCGAATCAAAATTCATAAAAAGTCCAAATTTTGATTTCTGGGTTTTCAATCTTCACTCAAAATTCACAAAAAGTTGAAATCTTTTTTCCCGAATTATCACTATTCATCTAAATCTTCTCTCAGATAATCTCACATCATTGCAGAAACAAAGAAAAATGCAAAATCACAAGGAGAAGAAAGAAGAGAAGAAGAACTTACAGTTTATTTTCTTGAGAAGATTCAAACAGCCAATTGCGGTTCCACAATCCGAATGACAAAGTTATCGGAGCGAATCGGTCCACAAACCCGAAAATTAGAAGAACGGAAGCTTTTGTAGTCTGGTTTTCTTTCGGCTTTCGCTTTATGAAATTCAAAATCTGCGTTTTGGGGAGAAAGGAGTCGAGTAATTTATAGAGGAAGGGCTAGAAACGCAAATCAACGGGAAAAATCTAAGGCTCTGTGTTTCGAGATGTTTCCCGCGCCATCTAACACTGGAATTTTCTGGAGGTTTCTGACAACATGCAGTTCGTCTTTGTCGGACACGTGTAAGCTTCGAGTTTTCTCCCCGAAGAGGGGTATATTTGTAATTCTCTCTGCCGCTGTGATAGTCTAGACTCTAGATCCTTCTTTAATTTTTGTTCGATCAAATTCAAGGTGAGGTTAGTCAAAGTGTTAAAAGTAAAAGAATTTGTTTGCAATTATTTTTTCGGACCATTAAATACTAAATGGTTTGAAAAATGAATGATAAAAGTAAATTTTAAAAAATTAAACGGTGAAGAATGTTTAAAAAACCAAATTAACGACTTTGTAAGTTGGATTATCAAAGAATTCAAACCCATGAATTTTTTTTTACATTTGGGGACATAAGGCATACGAAGTAAAATCTAAAACTGAATTAACTACCGAAAGTCTAGGAGGACTTACATGGAATGTATTTACTGTTACCACAATTTTCCATTTCAATAACATGAAATATGCAAGTGTTAACTTCTACTAGCCTCTCCGCACTCGCTCACACGCATGCGAGAGACATTTTTGCATCACAGGCGCTACGCGCCCCAAGGATTTGTCAATTTAGATATATTTTAATTTGGAATTGATTACTGAAAATAAATGGAATCTCATTGCTAAATATGTCTCGAGTTAGTTATTTTTCATTCTAATTGTGAAGATATATTTTCAATGTATTGTGTATGCGAGAGATTGCCCTTGAAAATGTGTTACTTTATTTATTTTTCTTTATTTCTTAAGTGCTTATTTATACTTTGTGCATGTGAGGGCCATTTTGAAGTTTTTGATTTTGAATTTGTGAGAGACCAACATCCATCTTTCCTCCTATCTTTTTAATATGTACCTTCAACGTGCGTTTTTTTTTTACCTTCTGTTGAGAAGTAGTAAGCACAACCATGTAAGCAAGAAATATGCCAGTATAAAAGAACTAGAAGGGGAAAGAATTGGAAATAAATTTTTTTTGGTGACAAAGACACACCAAATTATCTTGTCTTTCTACACGCGCTCTTGCACTATTTTTTTTTTTTTAAATTTTTTTTTTTTACCTTAGGATTAGACTTAGAAATACAATGTTAAGAGACGATTTATTTTACTATTGTGTTGGACAGCGTTGAATAGAAGTTACTTTGCAATATTTTGTACTCTTATGCAATAATAAATTGGTAAATAGGGATGCGATAGTAGTATATTTCTAAACAGAATAAAAATCATGGTACATATATACAATTGTATTATATTTAACGCGGACCAAGAATAAAAAGAAAATTTCTGTGTCTTGATAACTTACAGAAGTATGCATCTATAAGCATATTGTTTTATGACACTACAAAATAATAGGTGAGGCAAAAACATTATGTGTGCAATCAAATCTTATTGGTGGACACTTCAACAAAATAGTTTGATTTCCACCGGCCAGTAACACCCAAAAAAAGCAACTTCTCTTGCATCAACATAATACACATAACTGAAATTTTGTCCATAAGAAAAAAGAAACTCCATGCCACTTATTCTCTTTTCTTATTTTGGTGGGTAAAATGCAATGAAACCAAACTGCATGTAGGCATACTTCGTTCTAGTTCCATGATATATATTTACAAAGAGTAAAGCAAGAAAATTCTTTTAAGAATACAACCAAATGTACAAAGTTCTCTGAAATAAGAACTTAAAAAGAAGGCATAAGGAACTCATAAGGCTATCAAATGAAGAAGATAAGGCACAGAGCAATTTAAATAAGTTCCAATAAACCAAATATTAGAACTCTAAATGCAATTACTTAAAAACACAATTGTAAGACAAATACCTGAACAATTTTGGTTCCAATAAACCAAAATCAATTGCCCAGCATCGAGGGCGAAAAATGAATCAGTTAAAACCGACTTCAATCATATAATCACCAGCAAGAAATACCCAACCTTATTCATAAATTTGCAAGAACCTAAACAAACAAAAAACTACAATGAAAAAGGCTTTTTCATTAAAAAAATAAAAAAAATAAAAAAAAAACACCAAATGATAAAAATTAGTAAATTTAAAGCAATTACCTTATCGCAGCCTATATGAGCACTCTCCAATGGCTCTTTCTTTACTCATGAAACGTCTTGCTATTAGGCAAAATAAACTCATAATTTTGTAAAAGCAGTTCCAAAACCAAATAGAATGTTAAAATGAAAATATTGAATTAACAAAATTAATTATGAAAAATAAAGATTCTCATGCAGTGAGCAGTTCATATATACCCTGGAATTCTAATATCTAGTACAAATTATTCTTCAATAAGGAAATCGTAACAGTTCCATAAAAATTGAAATAAAATAAAACATACAAAAGATGGAATTCATATATACATATATACATATATACATATATACATATATACATACATACATATATATATATATATATATATCTCAATATATATATATCAGTTTACAAAAATCAACATAAAAAGTACTCAAAAAGAGTGTACATAGTTGAATCCAAAGCAACAAAATGCCGCTCCGCCTCTCTCTTCCTCCAGGTTTCGCAAGAAGGGTCGTGCTTTTTTCCATCCGCTCCCTACAATAGATTTTCTATAATCTGAAATTAAAATGTTAGGTAAGTCAGGTGAGTATGTTATTAGTGATAAATGTGGTGTTGATGAGATTGAGTTATAGCTTATATTTCTGCACCTCGATGATTGTGCTCCGCCAGAGTAGGGCCTAGCCTTCATGTGATTGTTCACCTCCCATACTGTATGCTCACTTAGGATCCAAGGCAGGTGCCAGCCTGTAGTACAGACCACTATAGGTGGTTTCAACTCGTAGGTGACTTGCGATACATCACACAGCCTTCACGTAATCGTAGCACTGAGCGTAATTTGATACACTAGTCTGTCGTACATACCACTTCTGACTCGTGTGCAGGATAGTAATTAAAGAGCTATAGATTTAGCCGTACAGGTCACTTTAGGTGACTCTGACTAATGTATTGATATCACTGGCATATTATGATTTGTTTTATCTCACTTGCTTGATACTTATATTGTTTGATTGGATATTTCTGACATGGCATATTTTGGCATGGCATATTTGAGCTTTATCGTTTTAGCATGATTTGATATACGAGTACGTATAGTATTTTCTGGAAAGTATACGGGTTTTACAAAGAAAGGTTAGTACTTGATATTGGAATGGTTTGAAAAACAAACTTTGTTTTTGCCCACTCACGTTTTCTGTTTTGCGCCTCTCCAGGTTTTAGGTAGCGAGGATGTGGGTGACGAAAGAGGCATCGAGGCATTTCTGACAAGCACCCTCCATGTAGGGCTTTCTAGTTATCACTCGTGTAGTGTTTGTTTATTCTGGACTGCACCTAGGATACTTGAACTTCTACTTTGCATTTTCCTTCCATGTTTGTCATTAGCACTCACTGATCTTGTTATTGTAAATTATTTTGTTGACTTTATTTTTCTCATATTTTCACTCTTTTGCTTCCGCATTATGCAATTGGCTGCGTCACCCTCACGTGAAGGCCATCACGCTCCAATTTTTGATCGGGGTGTGTCAGTTTGGTATCAGAGCCTAGGTTTGGCAGTCCTGCATTACTTGTGAGTATTCTAATTATTTTTGGTGTTTTCTATCAGAATTATGCCGTCTCGTCGAGAACCACGTCGCTCAGTTAAGCCTAATTTCCCCGATATAGCTTAGTTGGGGGAAGCTATAACTCATGCGATTCAGTCTACACTCCGCCCTCCTCAAAGGACTCATCTGGAGACCATGTATAATCTAAAGCTGGATAAGTTTGAGGGTCATGAAGGTTATGAGGGAGCTGAGCGGTGGCTTGAGCATATTGAAAAGACCTTTCTAGTGTTGCAAAGTCAAGGAAATCTTCCTTCTGAAAGGTGGCTAGAGACGACTTCATGGTTCTTAGGTAAAGAATCGGCATCCTGGTAAGAATAAGAGGTACGTCATTTGACCCTAGAGGAAATTACTGACTGGGAAGTGTTTAAACGGTTGTTTGGGAAAAAGGTTTGTTCCCCCTAAGTATATTGATCGCAAGAAGCAAGAATTTACTAATTTGAAGCAGGGGAAGTTGACGGCGAATGAGTACTATAGAAGATTCACTGATTTGTCCCGTTATCATCTGGAAGTTGCTGCTAACCAGGTTGAGATACTTCGTCGTTTCAGATTGGGTACTAAGAAGAAGTGGTGTTCTCTGGCGACCACTACTCCTTGCAATACTTATCTCTACAAGATTTTGTTGAGGATTGAGGATTCTGAGAATATGCCTAGTGAAAATGATAAAGAAGAGAAGAATGGGAATCAAAAGAAAGATGATAGAGGTAAGGGTCAAGCATTTTAGGGACCCAGGAAGACTTAGAGTTTTAAGAGAAGCGGGGCTAGCTATAGTTCATCCAGTGGAGGCATGAATTCTACGGGCCAATGTAGCGATGGTAGGTTTGCTAGAGGCCCATGTTTTCAGAGGCAGCAAGATGCTGGCGGTTCTGGTGGTTCAGGAGCTCTGTTTTGTCGGAGATGTAACGGTCGGCACTTTGGTGAGTGTAGACAGGGCAGTCAAGGATGTTTTACTTGTGGACAGGTTGGACATCGGGCAGCAAATTATCCACAGGGTCAGCAGAGGCCCCAAATGCCTTCTTTACCACCACCAGTTCTTATTCAGCAGGCTCTAGCGTCGAGCGGCTATGGTCAAACAGGTCGTGGGGTTACTTATCATTACCAGGGAGATGTTGCTCCTTATTCAGCAGTGCCGTACCCGTATCCTCAGGATCCGTATTATTTGGGTGGCTATGAGAGCGGATGTCAGCAGTACCCGGGAGGGTATACCTCATATCCTCCTTATCCAGCCAACGGATCGCAGTGGTATTTGGGAGTATAGCCTCAGCAGAGGGAGGTTG